TTGGTAGAGACACAGATACTTCATCTGATAAGAGAGCAAGCCGGCCAGGGGTTATTGTTGCTCTGGACACTGTGTTCTTTGTACTGTAGACCATTCAGTGGGTAAGCTACTGGGGAGAACCCTCGTAAAAATCATTTGCCTGACATTTTACTTTGACTACTAAACCAAAACAAAGGAATATTGTTTCACATTCAAATAGAACCACATGCAGAGACAGCAGTTGGTAATTTGTAGTTATTTATTTGCATGATGTTTTCCAGCAACTTCAACTGTAATGACTATACCATCCATCTGTTTAATACGGAAATTGGTTAGCAACTAGATCCTTTTTTTTTTTATTCTTACAATATGTCACCTACCTGCTTTGAATGAAATATTCTAGCTAAGTCTCTAAGTGTTAGACATGACAGTGTCATTCAGCATCCATTCCAGTTTCCTTCAACTGTGTATTCCTCTATCTCTAAGGCAAGAAAGCTATAAACTACACTCCCCAGACTCCCTTGCAGCTAGGGGTGTGGGCACAGATTAGGTTCTGCCCGTGAAATGAGCTAGATGAAAAGCGAGGGGGCAGGTGTGTCAGGAGGACGTTTGCTGGTGTGTTTCTGTCATTGGGAGCACTGTTCAGTCACTGGCTTCCTGCGCACAGTGGCACTTTGCAGCAGCTTCTCTGATCACGGGAACCCAGCTCAGACCCTGCTCTTGAAGTCAGCAGCTCCGGTGGCAGCCCTGATTCCTAGTCTCCAGAAGGTGGCAATGGTGGCAGCCACCCTGGGGGCCAGTTCAGCAGTCCTGTGTGGGAGTCATCCTTTGAGCTCAGCCTGGATCCTCTCCTCTCCCTTAAGTTGTGACCTTCCCTTCCAACCTTCTTGTGAGCACCTGATTTCCATAGTAAAGCCCTTATGCAAAAAGTAGCTAGGGTAGTTTCTGTCATCAGCAACCTCACTGACACAAGAAAGGAAGGGGGGAGAAGAGCGCATTCAGTGCACAAGACAGCAGGCAATGCGTGGGGAGAACCTCGAAGCGGGAAAGGGGTGTACCTATCTGTCACACATGATCACACCTTCAGGAACAGAAACAAGGTCACAGGCTAAACTATGCAGAGCTACCCAACTCGGGGCCAACACTCTTTAGGGCCTGGAGTTGAGGCCAAAGCCTAATTATAAAGGCTTGAGAAATAATCGTCAGGAGCTCTGGAGAGAGAGAGGGAAAAAGCACTGAAGGAAAAACGGCAAAGAAGGGAGAGAAGAAAGGAAAAGAAGGGAAGTGAGAAGGGAACATGGAATAACCCAGTGACTAAAACCACACACGGCGAACAGGTTCAGAAAACAGCCCCTCGCCTGGCCTTGCCTGGGTGTTTCCTGATGGCAATCCACCTTGGTGGGTGGGCGGGCGGGGGGTGGGGGGTGCCCGCAGGGCCTGCGTCCCAGTGTCCCTGAGCTGGGCTCAGGGGTCCTCAGCGGCAGACTGTACAAGTGCATCAGTCCCTGCAGCTCTTGAATAGGCACACAGAGTCAGAAGAATCAATTTACTCATTGTCTGTAGGATAGCTCTCCAGCTATGCTACAGAGATAGCCTATCCATACTCGGTTTTCAAGTCAGACAACTAGTAATGCAAGGAGCTGACAGTCAATTATGGTAAGTACTGGTTTAGGTTCTGGCCAGCTTAAAAAAAAATGACTGCAAATACCTTTTTTTAATAATTCAATAGGATAGTCTGAAAAATAAACCTAAGGTAAGATGTTTACACAAAGGAATTAAGAGGTCTCCTGAGACTGTAATTCTTAACACAGAAAAAAAGAAAAAGCGTGTCACGGCCCAGGCCTGTGGTTCCTGCCTCACTGACACACTGTCTCCTTCTTCAAAGATACGGCTCTTTCTCCACAGCCTTCCCCACCAGCGTGAGACCCCCACCCCGTAGTTCCCACGCACAGTCAGTCTGCAGGCGCTGCTCACTGGGCCTCAACCGCGCTTCCTCCCCGAGGGACCTTCCCTCACAACCCCAGGATCACTTCCATGAGCGAGCACTCCTGACCTCCCTCCCTCCTGCCGAGCACACAGCACACCTACGGTCATGGCTAACCTGGGTGTATCACCAGCTGACCTGCGGTCCCCCAGAGGTCAGCGCTGTCTGTCCTGCAGTTGCATCCTGAAGGCTCAGCATGGTGCCCTGGGTGCCTCGGGAACACTGAGCCAAACGACGGAAAACCTGAGTGAGAGCGGCTGCCGCTCCATCCCACAGTCCCCACACCCCATCTCTAAATAATGACCGGTGCTCTCTAGCTTTTCTCAGTGTCCACAGGAAAGTGAGGGATTATTAGCTTGCCACGAGGGCCATCCTTCGCAGGCCATTAACAGAAACTAGTTAATGAAATGTTTAAATGCTATCTTAGAATTTCAGCGGGTCATCTCCTCCCTCCTCCTAGGATCTCCTCCTTATCTCCACAACCACCACAGCTAACTTGTGTCACTAGGTGAGCAAAGGCCTGTCTGAAGTGGAGGCCAGGCCAGTTGGACAGTGGGAGCCTCCAGCTCCCAAAGGCCGCTGAAGCCATGCCGTGTATCAGAAGCATCCAGGGAAACCATGCTGTGTACCAGAAGAGCACAGTAGACCAAGACAAGGCGATGACTCATTTACTGTCAATTACGCAGCAGCCCCTTGGCAGCCCCCAGGAAATGACACTGAAGTCTACAGGTTTCTCTTTCCTACAGGCAGCTTGGGCTGACAGCATATTCAGCATTTTACATCATCATTTTTATGGATTTTATGGACTTATTTTTTTAGACAGAGGGGAAGGGAGGGAGAGAAACATCAGTGTGTGGTTGCCTCTCAAGAGCCCCCCTGGGGACCTGGCCCGTAACCCAGGCATGTGCCCTGATTGGGAACCAAACTGGCGATGCTTTGGTTCGCAGGCTAGTGGTCAGTCCACTGAGCCACACCAGCCACAGCTACACCAACTCTTCCATTGATGAGTCACAAGCAGCCACCTTACAAAGTATCATCATCCTCATTTCACAGAGGAAGAAATGGCTCAGGGCTGCGATTCACACCAGGTGATGGAGTGCCAACTCTAAATTCCTTCCCTTCTGTGGTTAGAAGTCTCTCCAGGAGGGAGGGAAGTACCCCAAATGAATGAAGTCAACTCCCTTTGGAGACCTCTTAGCCTGAGGTCTGTGCTGTATACGCTTATGACATTAAGAGATGAGAGAGGAATCACAGGAGCTGAAGGACACCCAACTGGTCATTTAGCACCTCTGTGCTTTCAGCCCTACCAGGGACCGAACAGGGTGAGAACCAGGCTTGCTTTTCAGTCCCTTCAGTCTGTCCAGAGACCAACCCCCGTATCTTCATGCTGTCACACGCTGCTCTCAAAATGCTTCCCCACTTACCTACCAGTGAAAACACGAGATGGCACAGACAGGCTCTGCCAGCCTCGTCTCGATAGGCAACACCAAGGGCTACATTACAATGAGAGCTTCCCTCAGTTCCTATTCAAAATGTAAACCAGCACATCCATATGCACTAAACACAAGGACTTAGTTGCATTTCCCCCTACATTAAGATCCTGTATGTTGCCAAGCTCGACCGGCCCTTTGTGCCTTCTCCAAAGCAGGGATAGAGCCTTTATCAGAATGTTTCCGATTTTGGAAACTAACTTTCTAAAGGTGCATAGGAATTCTTTACGAGTGAAATGCATGTAAATATTCACATATTTATGTATCAGAAATACTATAGCCCTGGCTCGTGGGGCTCAGTGGCTTGAGTGCTAGCCTGAGAACCAAAGGGTCAGCAGTTTGATTCCCGGTCTAGGGCACAAGCCTGGGTTGTGGGCCAGGTCCCCAGTAGGGGGCGCACAAGAAGCAACCACACATTGATGCTTCTCTCCCTCTCTTCCTCCCTCCCTTCCCCTCTCTAAAAATAAATAAATAAAATCTTTTAAAAAAAGAACAAAGAAAGCTCTAAAATGTAATACCTTCTCTCAGCCCTCTCAATCACTACAAGATGCGGCTGTAGAAGCACACATAAACAGATTCAGGGCTGATTGGGACTGGCCCCTGCCCCTCCGTTTCAAGGCAGAGTGAACTATGCAGATAACCTTTTCAGTTTCACATTCCTCCGATGAATAAAACTGTGTTAAAGCCTTTGATCTACCTCATGGTGTTTTAGCTAAATTAAGACACACACACACACACAAGGACAAATCATTTCCCAAGAACATCATTATAGGAATTGAATCTTTTCCAGAAACAGGATTTTTTTTTGAATCAGGAGAAGAATTTATAGAGACTGCCTTTCTCAAATCTGGCCAAATGCTTTCCTAAAGCAGCAGCTCTCTGGAGCAGCTTCCTCAGCGAGGAGACCCCTCCCAACTGGCCAGCCCCCTTAGGTCTGTGCCCCCTCCCCTCTGAGCCTCCCTCATCCACAGGGGAGTCCAGTAGGCTGTTAGGTGTCAACGACAGAAAAACCTCCAGTTCTCAGTTCTTGCTTCCAGAAACTTCCAAACAAGTTAACCATTTATTAACCAGTAACGTCATCCAAGGATTCCATAGGTTCATGAGTCACATGAATTATAGTACTTTTAGCAGCTGAAAGAAGGGGTTAAATGCCAATCATTACCTGTAACATTGCTAATAATCTTACCCTTAAAATTATATAAATGTATTCTGGCTCTTGTGGACCTTTATAGCCTGACGCTCTTTCTACATAAAGCATTGCATGCTTATAACATTTATCACCAAGAGCCGAGGTAATACTAAAAAACATACATGTAGCAAATATACAACTCCTACCATCCCATTTTGATATACCTCCTTAAACTGTTTTTTTGTCATCTGCTGTATTTCAGTAAGTTCTTTCAGATCAACTAAAAAATATTCTGACGAACTTTCTAACTTAAAGTTCTCTCTAGTTCACCTCCTGTGCTAGTTAATCAATTTCCAAATGATAGCTTCTACAGGGAAAGATACACATGCACTCCCCGAAAACACAAATTCATTTTCACCTTTAAGACACTAAGCGTGTCCCCTGCAGCTCGGAGCTCTGATTTCTGCGGTGTACATCTGAAGCACATTCCGCAGTCCTCTCTGCATGGCAGGCTCGCCTGTTTTGGTCCTGTCCAAGTGTTCAAGGTAAACAGGTCACCCTCGGCGACTGGAATGACAAAAGCACAGGAACTCACCCTGGCGGTCAGACTTCAATTGCGGGCGCGCGCGCGCGCGCGCCGCGACCTGTCGCGCCCCCTCCTCGGTGTCCCCGGAGGGAGGGCAAGCGCAGAGCTGGCTGAACAGGGCTGGACTAGGCGCTTCCCGCCGCTCCCCTCTGCAGACCATTGTTAGAACGACGGTCGCGGAGCTTTCTGCACTGTGTGGGGGCGGGAAGCTCCACCCAACTGAATAGTTGCAATGCTTTCTCGGAGCCGGGAGGGAAAAAGCTGCTTTTCCATCAGAGCCGGAGGCTATACCAGGTGTAACTTCCACCTCTTGACCTATTTGAGAGTGTGAGAACGAAAGCAATGGGAAAAAAATCACGGAAGGCGCGCGAGGTAGCTAGACGCCCGGGGCGCTGGTGCCCGAATGGGGGCGCGCTTGAGCCCAAGCGCGTGTAGGGGGGTTCCAGAGAGAAGTTAGTGCCAGGGTCCTGGAGGGAGGCCTCCGGGGCCGCGGATCAGCAGGTTGAGCTGGGGCCCGGGGGTGGGGGGGGTTGCTGGGGAGGAGACCAGGGGAGGGCAGGGTCGTGGCCCCTCCGTAAGCTCCTCCTCACGCCACCGCCTGATCCTGGCTGGCCCCGCCCCCTCCGGGCGCGCCCAGCGCGGGAAGCGAGGCTCCTAGGGCTGGGGGGCCTCCGGGGGGCAGCTGCGACAGCAGCTAGGCGACCGCTGCAGCCCCAGGAGCGCGTTTCTCCGCCCCCATCGCCATCCCAGCCTCCCCGACCCATTCTCACCTCTCCGTAGGTGGCGCTAGCGCTCGAGTAGTCCGGGGACCGAGGCCGCGGACAGCCTGGGGGGCGGGAGCCACTGTGCGTGGAGGGGCAGCGGGCGTGGATGGGCAGCAGAGCCCGAAGACTGTCGCCTCCCTGCTTAGTCAGTTGGAACGCCCCGCCCAAACGTGCCCGGGAAGTGAGGCTCTGCCGCGGGATGGGGGTGACCTCCCTGCCTCCTCCCCTTGCTCTTCTCCTCTGTCCCTTACTGGCGTGGCCCGTCCTACGTGGGTGAGGACTCTGAGGCGGGTACACCTGGCCCGCCTGGAGAGCAGCAACGCAGTACCTGGGGTGACAATAACGCGATTCTTTAACGCGTCTTTTCTCGTTCGATCCTTGCAACCACCTACTCCAAGGCAAATATCCCCAGCTGGGGACATTGGATAACTGGACATCAAAGGGGTTAAGTCCAAGGTGCCACCGCTTAGACCGTGCAGACCTTTTCACTAAAACAGGATGCTTAATATGTTAAGAGTTTTGCGAAGCTTTTCCCATCAAAGTAGCATCTGTCAGGAGGAGGGATGGAACTCAGGTTAGAAGGTTCTACTTAAAAGTGGGCACGGACACACCCACTACTTCCATAAGAGCGGGGTTAACTACTTTCTGCCAGGTCCTTCCCATGATGATCTTCGACCTCTATTATTAAACAACTCAGTAACCATCAGGGGCCTGTGTACTGGAAAAGATTCTAATTGAAAAGTTAGCACATTTAGAAACTGTTCCGCTGCCTTTTGGTGAGAGGTTGATGCTCCCGTCTCCATGGGATGGGGGCCCTTCACGTTAGGTTGCTTTCCCAGGCGTGTGTGGGGGGCCAGCCATAACGGTATGTCTCACATAGACACTGGTGAACTGAGAGTGGGTGGAGGTCAGCTTGCATAGGTTGTGATTCTGGAATAGTTTTCTAGCTCCACAGTATACTGGCACCTTTAGTATATAGGGAACTTTTGCTTGGGCATCTTTACCACCATGCCCAGGGTAATCCAACTGACATTTCCTTTTTCTATAAATGTCTCTTTTTTTGCATTTAAGAAGAAAAGCAAAAAGTCATGAGCCCAGTTTTACATGTTCTTTTGGGGCTGAATGCCAGCCCACAGAAGTGCCACCGCTCACTTTTGCTTCCATTTGGTGGAGCTAAAACAACCACCTGTCCTTGGACACAGGCTGCGTACGGGATACTGCAGTGTCCCTTTGCCCCCCTTCTAACAGTGCAATAGGCGGCAAAGCACATCTAAATAAGTATCTTGCGGTGTCTGGTACATACATAAAAGGTGCCTAGTATGTATTTGTTGAGTGAATGAGATCTTGACAGAATGTGATAAATACAAAAGTAGTTTGTTTTAAATGCTACAGGAAAACATAAAAGTAATCAGTTATTGGCAGGGTGGTCAGGGAAGGCATCCTGGAGGGGGTGGCAAGTATCAAATTGTGATGTGAAGAACAGGCTAAGGAATGGAAGTGAGAAAGTGTGTCTGCTGTCCTTTCAGGATATGCAGAGACAGAGGTTCTCCACCTTTCGTAGGTAACAGGCCCCTGTGAGAATCAGAGAGGAGCTTTGGCACTCTCCTGTATTAAAAAACAAATGCAAAAATATGTGCATATGTTTTCTGAGGTTTCACAGACTTGCTGAAGCAGATCCGTGGAATCCCTAGAAGTGTGTGGACTTGAGTTACCGTTTCCTTGTTTGGAAGCATGGCCCCTCACAGAATGTGGGTGATGGCCGAGGGGATGGAAAGAAGAGGGCGCTGTAAAGAACAGGTGTGCGCTCGGAAGCATCATAGTCCTTCCTCAACGCCAGACCTTGTAACATTTTTGTTCCTTTTGTACGCGAGAATTTCACTTTCATCTCTCAACAAAAGGGGAGGGGAGACATAGGTAAAATATGACTGTCAGACATTGGCGGTCACTAAAGCTAAGTGGGTACATGGGGGTTAAAGGATTGTTATCTCCTTCCTTGTGATGTTTGACAATTTTCATGGAAAAATTTTTAAATAATCTTTACTCACCGGTAGACATAACCAATCCTATGACATTTCTTAACTTAGCTTGTTAGGACATTTTTTTTATTTAAAAAAGAAAACAGGGGACAAAACAATAACAAGTATGCTAGTGATGTCACACGTAAGTTATTAACAGTAAGTGCATTCTCTATAGAAATGGTAGGTTTTTCTTTTATAGTTAATATGATGCATGTTAGCAATGGTTTCAACAAGTGTCCTTCTGTTTCTTTGTAAACTTACCCTTCACTTCATATTGCTAAGTTAAATTAGTTCCTTTATATTTCTATATATTTATATACTATATAACATTGTATTGCTATATATAATTATGCAATAATACATAATATGTATGTATGATTATTATTGTGTTGTTTGGTCAACTCAGTTCATTTATGAACTTCCTGTGTCTAGTACACAGCTCTTGGGGAGCAGGCCATGGTTCTCTGAGTACTTGTCCTGCGCCCTTCTGAGAAAGGCAGCGACAGTGGTCCCTGACACATCAGGTGCCATACTACCCACCTTGGCACCCAATGGTGCCATGGAACTAACTCGACCAGTGATTCCTGACCACCAGAAGGAGCTGTCTGGTTTGTCCTGTGGCCGGCAAGGCAGCAGCTGGAAGAATGCTGCCAGGCAGGCATATGCGGCACTGGATGGAGATGGTAAGTACCAATCAGATTTTTTCCCAGTGTTTCCCAGGCAAAGTCTGGATCTGAACCCAGGCAGCGAGTGCTCCAGAGCTGGTGTTCTTAACCACTCCATTCACTGCTTCAGAAGAAGCAAAGACAGTCAGAGTGAGCCACATGCTCGACACACTGTAGTTGCTATGGGTGCCTTGACGACTGCGGGGCTCACCCTACCGTATGACCTGGGGCTGCTGTGTTTCCATGTTGATCTTCCAGTGCCTTCTGAATTGCTCACAGCTATAGACACTATTGCTTGCTCTTCCTTACTTCCTCCTGTCGTTGTATAACAAAGCCGTATCCGTGTAGATAACCCATTTGTTTTCTTTATAACCTGAACAAGCACAACCACAGGGTAACCTGCGGATTGCTGATAGCAGCCCCGTGACAGGGGGGAGAGCTGTAACTGTCCCGTCTCTCCTTTTGGGGTCTTCTTTCCTCTTAATAAGACATAAGAGATACTTTCTTAGTCATGCTATCTGAAAATGCATTTTTTACAAATCAAATCACATTTTCCAGTTGATGTGTTTAGTAAAATAAATATTTTCCCACCAAAACAATATATTTCTCTTTAAGCCATTATGGAAAATCACATCCAGAATTAAGCAGCTATGATCTTTAAACATTTATTTACCAGAAATATGGAAGAAAAGAGCATCAAAAAATACTAAAACCAAATTATTTCATGTCCCTTCTGCTTGAGGTCCATAACCAGATCTTTGTTGCTTATTAAATGCCCCAAATGCCATAGAATAGGATACAGCCCACTCACAGCCTGGCCCTAACCCACCTCTGTGCTCAAGGAAAATCATAAGATTTCTACTGCTAACATAGCCCTAAACTTTATACCTGTAGTTTATTAAATTATGGGATTTATGTAGAAATTCAGGTAAGCTGTTTCCCTAAGAGCTTTTGACCATTTTCTCATTTATTTTGTCCTCATTGCCTATCACAGTTCTTGGCACTTAGAGCTCAATGCATATTTTGATTTCATGAGTTGAGATGTATTACTATTACTCTCAAAATGTGCAGCAAGATGCTTATGTAACTATTTCATTCATTTTGACTTTGACTATCCACTACAAAAGCCCTGGTCTAAGTATTGGCTATTTGACTACTTGGGGTACTTATCTATTCTTACTACAACGAAGACTTTGAAAGATATTGCTGTATTTTTAACCACATATCCCCCCCTTTCAAAGTCATTCCACAATTTTTGAGTAATTTTAACTAGTTCAGCATGATAGTATCGCGGCGCATTTACCTACTCCACCAGGCATCCCTTGAATGACTATTCTGTGCCAGGCACTGTGCCGGGCACTGTGCTAGGGAAACAACGGTGGGCAAAACAAACAAAACGCCTGCCCTCCTGGACCTCACGGTATAGTGCAGTGATGGACATCAATCAACCAACCACACCTGCCGTACCTAAAATGGGTCATTCCAAACGGAAACGAGCGTCTCGAAGGAAAGTCACAGAATGTCCTGAGAGTTCACGTGTCCCCTGTCTCTCCTAGAGGGGACGCAGGAGTGATCTTTGTCAGTCCTCAGTTTAGTCCAGAGCCAGGCCTAGGGAGGTGTTTGGTAAGTTTTGTTGAAGGAACACGTGCATCTACTTCTGATGTACGAGTGCGTGGCCCTTCCCGTATTGCGCAGCACGCACTGAATAAAACACAGGCCTGTATTCCCTCAAACGCTGACCTCAGCACATGGCCACCTTCCGCTGTTTGCCTTTGTTTCTGTGACCACAGTCCATGGGTCACCCATGTCCAAATGCATCCTGTTTTCTTTGCCAGCGTGACAACACTTAACTTATTATCCTAATTGCATTAGCAAGAACATTCTTTATTTTATAGCAAAAGTTATCATACACACTAATACTTTGCTGTTACTTTACCAGCACAAGTCCATTGTCTCTTTTCCTTATAGTTCGTAACCTTTGCTGAAGATACAAAAGAACATTGTTCTTTTGTCACGTGGGAAACTGTGTCACTCTGCACTGTCCCCTATGTCATTGTCTTACTTCCTGTCCTTCTACAGCTATTTGGGTATTGCTCCTGCACCCTTTCCCCTCGATTCCGGCCGTGTCGCTCTTTCATCGTGCTCTACTTCGGATCCTGTCGTTTTTGGGGTCAGCTTTCTGCTGGATCAGGAAGTGACACATGCGTCCTGGTTTATTTTCTCTCTTTTTTGGTGGTGTTATTACATAATTCTTTCTCATGAAGCACTCTCAGATAAGAATCTCAGGTCTGATTCTTTTGGTATGTGTTGTTTGCTTTTGGCTTGGAATGAGCAGGGAATGGAAAATATGGATTATTTGTCATGATAGGGATTGAGAAAGACTAAAAAATAAACTCCGATAATAAAGAATGTGTCATATAAAAAAAAAAAACCAACATCTAGGATGTAGAAAAAT